GCCCTGCTCGTCCTTCCAATCACGCCCGGAGTGCCACTCTCTTCCATCTTAGCTGGCCACAGGCAGGGGGAGGATGTGTCTCCCTGCACGGCTGCTAAGTGGCCAGCTGAGCGGGAAGAGAGCGGTGGTCCGGGCATGATTGGAAGGATGAGTGGGGCTGCCACTGGAGTTGCGAGTGGACAGTCTGGGGCTAGACCCTCATTAAGTCCAGCTGCGCGGGGATATTCGTGTATGAATATGAATGCCCCCATCTCTACTGTTAATTCCGCTTACTGAGGGCTAACCTATAACAAATTATGCACAGCCCATAAATAACAAAGTAGAAAATAACAGATTTGTTAATACTGTATTTGCCACCGTACAAGGCGACTGGCCGCATAAGATGACCTTCCAACATTTCCACTCAAAATACAGAGTGGACGGCTTTGCTGCGGTGCCGGTGGCGGCTGCCCGGGGCTCTGCCCGGGCCTGCCCTGGAAGTTCATGGATGGCGGGGAGGAGGGCGAGGAAGAGCGCACGCGCGCTAGCTGGCTCAAACAGTGAGAGGGCGGGGAAGAGGCTGGGTGGGAGGAGGAGGAAGAGGGGAAGCGCGCAGGTGGCAGGCGAGCGACTCCTCCATCCCGACTGACTGCCTGCCCACCTGCCTTCCTCCCCGACAGTGGGTCCTTCCTGGCCCAAATGAAGTGCACCCAGCATACAAGATGACCCCCCCCACTTGGAGGCATGTTTTTTGGGCCAAAAAAGTCATCTTGTATGCCGGCAAATACGGTAGTTTGTTTTTTCCCTTTGGGGCCTGAGGCAGCAAGTGGGGATAGCAGAAATGAGAGAACCAACACAACAGAATGTAGCTTTGTTATCCATACAGGAGATCTGGCACAGAGCCACTGCACAACACAACATGGAGAAAGAGGAAAGGTTCATGGAGGACTGAGGACATGTTGCAGCCTCAGCCTTGTTTCATAATTTAGGGAAGACTGAAGGGCAGCAGCCCTTCTTTTGGTCCACCAAGCAAAACTCTGCTCCCAAGTCAACTGCCAGTACAGTGGTGCCTCGCATTATGACGTTAATTTGTTCCAGCGAAATCGCTGGAGAACGAAAACGTTGTAATGCAAAAAAAGCCCATTGGAATGCATTAAAACCTGTTTGAGGCGTTCCAAAGGGCTGGAAACTCACAGTCCAGCGAAAATCCTCCATAGGGCGGCCATTTTCGGGGCCATTTTGTTTACCCAGTGGCCATTTTGAAACCACCGATCAGCTGTCGGAAAATCATCGTTTTGTGAAGAATCGGTTCCCGAAGCAGGGAACCGATCATCGCAAAGCGAAATTCCCCCATAGGAAACATCATTTTGCGATCGCAAAAACGTCGTCATAATGCCATTTTGTCATTAAACAGGGCAATTGTAAAGCGAGACACCACTGTATATCACAACAGCAAAGGGAGCAGAGGAAGGCCACAAATTGGCTAGGCAGACCCAAGAACCCATTAGGGTCAGATGTTGTTGGTTAGGTGTCCCTCTCCCTTCCTTCCCCCCCCTAATGTGAGGGCACAAAATGATCCCTCATTCAAACAAAGTTGCCATCATCACTGACTACATTAACCCAGTCACAGGAAGAGGCTCAGGGGCTAATTATGTTCACACGAAGTCTTCTGAAAAACTGTGCTGACTTTTTCAAGAGAGAGATGGTTGACTTCCTCCAGTTCAAGGGAGATCCTGTCCACATCCCTCTGAGTTTGAGCCTGTTGCCGACGGCTCTCCAGGAGCTCCCCATGGATGTGCTGCATTTGTTCACGTTCTAACCTCAACTGCTGACCCAAATCAAGTACTTCTTTGTACTGTTCTGCAATGCATTTTTCTTGTTCTTTCATCTTCTAGAAGGAGTAAACATTACATTGCATTAGCAAAAAAAGTGTTATATATGCCTTCTACTGTAATACAGTTAGAACTAACACATACAGTTATTCCTCCATATCTGCTGGGAATTGGTTCCAACTCCCCCCCTCCCGATACTGAAAACCACAGATAATAGCGAATACTATATACAGTATATAGCATGGTAAAGGGAAAACAACAACACACAGACAAAATATTTTCACATGCACTACCAGAACTGGCCACTATAGGGCGAGAGAGACAATGCTATGTATTCATCATTAACAAGTATTCATAGTACGGTTTATGGCTCCCTCTAGTGGCTGGTTCTGGTGATACATGTGAAAATAGGGTTTTTTTCCAGAATTTTTTTCTTTTAATATTTTAAATATTTTTCATACCATGGATAAGTGAATCAGTGGACACTGATCCTCTGGATAAGGGGATCCTACTGTATATAATAGCATAACCTTTCATGGACCAGAATCCACTACAGCATAACCTTTCATGGACCAGAATCCACTTCAGACATAAGGAATGCTATCCTGAGTTAGCAGGGAAACATAGATATGAACACAGAAGACAAAACACATTTACAAGCATGGTACAAAGCAAATTAAATGATAGAAACATAGCTCCACCTTGTAAGTAAGAACTTTGGTGAACCATTTGTGTGCTGGTTTATGCAGTCATTTAATGCTATTACCAGAGGAGGGCAAATAAACCAGAAATCATTTGTTTACTGTGTCATTGAAATCTGGAATCTTGGCTTGTTTCTCTCACTACAAGTTAGGGTGATAAACTAAAGTTTGTTCTTCTCGTCCCGATTTATAAACAGCAATAAGCTAGGATCCTGAGTTTCGATGACATGGTGAACCAGGGATGGACAACTCAGCCTATGGGCCAAATAAAACCTGTGGCTGTTTTTGCATACAATTGATACAAACACATCACTGATAGTTAGCAGTGCCTCTTGTTCTTCTTGTTTATTTACCTAGAATATCTCCCTCCCATTTTCCCCACTAGACTCAGGCTTAACCCCAAAAACCCACCTACAGAAACCCACTCACATATATAGAAAAAATGATTTTTCTGGGGAGAAAGAACTCCCCTCTCCTGTTAACTGTACTGCTCTTAACTGCCTACAGTGGTGCCTCGACTTACGACCGTAATCTGTTCCAGAAGATGAACGTAACTCGAAATGGTCATAAGTCGAAGTACCATTTCCCATAGGAATGCACTGAAATACAATTAATCCGTTCTGGCTGAAGAAAAAAATCATTCCCCCAAAAATCACTGCAAGACTCATTGGAAATGTGATTAATCCCTTCTAGCCGAAGGGGAGGGGAAAGAAAAGCAATCAAGAGTGCAAGACCCATTGGAAATGCACAGAAAACAAACGGATCAGATCAGAAATGCACAGAGAACAAAGTGGGCAGGTCGGAAATGCAAAGAAAACAAAGGAAAAAGCAAGGGAAACATGCAGGAAATGGGGAAACCCTCCAAAAAAGCAACCAAACCCCCAAGACCCATTGGAAATCGGGGGAAAAAGCCAACAAACAACCCCCCAAGACCCATTGGAAATGGGGGGGAAACCCCAAAAGCAACCAACCCCCCCCCAAGACCCATTGGAAATGGGGAAAAAACCAATCAACAAACAAACCCCCCAAGACCCATCACAGCACAGAAACATAACCCCCCAGCTCAAAACACTGGAAAAACATCCAGAACAGTTTTTAAAAAGCAGAAAACAGCACCTTACGTTATAAGGCAACCCAAAGCCTCCCTGCAAACACACACACACGCTCACTCACAAGCAGAAGCGATTTCGCTGGAACGGATTGTCATCGTCAAGCAAGGCACCACTGTACAAAGAAGCAGCCTTGTCGCCACCTACAGTTAGAAATTTGAATTTCCCACCTTTTTCCCTGCCTTTTTCTGTTCGTAAGCTCCGGTCGCAAGTAGAAGCAAAATTTTGCGGCCGGAGCTGGTTGTAACTCGAAATGGTCATCACTCGGGACGTTCGCAAGTCAAGCCACCACTGTACTTAGCTAACATCCTGTGCATCTGATGAAGTGAATTTTGATTCATGAACGTTGATGTGTGAATACATTTGTTTAGTCTCCAAAGCACTACCAGACGACTGCTTTTGCTAGAAAACATTGACATGGCAACCCCTCTGGAATCTGTTGTCTGCATATCTGCATGACAAACAGCCAGCAATATAGATAAGTTTTAAAATAGTACTGCAAGATGAAAAAAATAGGGCTGCAGTTAGTTACTTCTGAGTTGACGTGAGCAAGACTGTGCAGTTAAATATGTGACAACCAGAATCCTATCACGCCCAGAAATACAACCAGCATTTTGTTGATGAGCAGCAATTTGCCATCAAGACTTAATGCAATTTCCCTTGTGCAAAAATAAAGTGGCAATAGAATTCTGGCCTATTTTGTTGTTGTTTGCAAATATAAAGATGGTTAGATTGCTTTTTTAAATAATCTGGAGCATTTGCAAAGTCAAACAAAAATACGCAAGGAAAAAACTTACTTTCTCCATATCTCTTAATCTTTGTTGTTTTCTTTCCATTTCTTTTTTAAGACTGTTGATTTCTTGATCTTGCTGAAGGATGTTAAACTCTTTCTCATGAAGCTCATCTTTTGCATGCTTTAGTTTGCTCTCTAAACTTTCAATCTAATAAACAGGTATAGGTTGCAAGAGAAATTACAAAGAAAGCATCTATTTTAGAAGCTCAACTTTTACAATATAAGATATACTTTAGAGAGATTAATTTCTGTTAAAATGTGAAGTTGACAACTTGCAAACAGGTACCTGTTTATAACATTCCTTGATTTGCAACTCTTCTTTTTCTAACTTTGCCTCTAATTTAATGATCTTTTGTTCCAGTTCCCCTCTGTGCTCCCGAATTGACATATCCAACTTTGTAACCTTAAAAATAAGAATGAGAAAGACAAAAAGCAAGACAAAAATAAATGTTAGAACACAGTTATCATCAGTTGTGGAATCACAAACATTATGTCCTAACAATACAAACAGCATGTATTAAACTTAAAAAAATAAATAAATGTGCAATTCTAACCTGAGCTGCTCTTTGCTTCAGATCCCAGTTTCTTTCTTTTAGTGCCTTGTCCATGTCGAGAAGCTCTTGTTTTTTCTCCTCCAGTTCATCCTTGCAATCTCTGTTATGTTCATTTTAAAACAAAGCACAATAGATTGTAAAGTCTCTGTTAAGAAAGCGATATAATGGCTGTTACCAGCCTCCATTACCCTATAGTCTGATCTGGTATTTATTAGAAGTAATATCTAGGAGTTAGTTCAGCGAGATGTTCTCTTTTAATAAATAGTAAACCTTTAGAGCTAGGCTACAATTAGACTCGCTTTGTGCCATGTTACCACAAGGCATTGTTGCAGCACTACAGGTGCTGCATGTTCCCTCCCCCCAGCGGCTGGCATGTGTTGCTCATCTCCTACTGTTTGTGCAACTGTTGCAGTTGCAGCAGGAACACAGACTTCTCCGCCTCCTCTAGCAGCTGTCCATTCAGATGAGGAGGCAGAGCAGTAATGCTGCCTTTGAGTGGGCAGCTGCTGGAGGAAGGCGAGGAAAGTCCATGCTCTTACTGCTGCAACTGGACAGTTGTGCAAAGAGCAGGAGATGAGCAGCATGCACTATCTGGTGAGTGAGGGAGCCGGCTGGAGGAAGAGAACGCACAGCACCTGTGGTGCCATGCCAACAATGTGCAACGATGCAGCACAAAGTGAATTGTGCCCATCTCTAGCTCGAATCCTATGTACATTTATGTGAAAATAGGCTCCAGTGACCCAAATAGTACATTTCTGAATATACACAATTCTCAGACTGCTAATATCCTATTGGTTGTTATGTACTGTCAAGTCACCTCTGACTTATGGCAATTCTATGAATGAGTGCACCCCAAAATCTCCCATCCTCAACAGCCCTGCTCAGGTCTTCCAGACAGAAGCCTGCGGATCCCTTTAGGGAGTCAATCCATCTCATATTTGGTCTCCTGCTTAGTGCCAAACAATGATTAAATGTAAATGTTATCTTGTTGAAATAATGCTAGAAATTTAAAATAATGGTTTAAAAATATGTTGGTTAGCATCAACCAAATGATGTTTCCGAAAGACTAATTTAGAAAGTTAACTATTGTATCATGATCAATATTTCCTCTAATTTTCAGCCCTGCTAAGCGGGGCTCCACCTTTCTCTCTCTCTCTCGCAACTTCACTCCTGTGTGCATGTGTGACTCCGCCCTCCCCATGTGTGGAGTTCCATTGCAACCGGACCCAAAGGGGCTGAAAATGATCACTGCGCAGAGGAGGAAAGCTGTACAGAGGGAGGTGAAGTTTCACACATCTTAGAGGGAAACTTGCTCATGACTGTCTCATAAAAATGAAGGAATAAAACTGTAAGATGACAATAAAATCAGGACCCAATTGCAAGTACTAATCCCAATTAGAGTGGACCCATTAAATCAATTATGAATGTATTTATTATTTGATTTTTGTCCTGCCTTTCTTCCCTGTGGATTGCTGAATGGTGAGTCAACACCAAGTAAATTCAGTAGTTCATTGGGTCAACCAGCAATTGGATTCCGGCTTTTGAAAACTAGGCAAATAGTATCTCCTGCAGTTTCAATGGCATAAAAGCTAAATAAATAGTTCTCTTGAAAAGAAATGCAGCTAGTTTTAATATAGCACAAATCTACAGTTTCTTGACTGTTTTTGTTCCCCATGTATGCCTGTTATAGAACTTAATCATATTTTCCATTAATTTTGTTTGCCTCCCATAACTCGGAAGAAATCACCTGAAATATTGGGATATATTTTGCAGACAATGTAGGGGGCACTAGAATAAATAACAGCACAGGCTTACGCCTACCCAACCCCACCCCTTTGGGGCCTTTTCATCTTCTACAAAGATAAAAGGAACAAGAGGAAAATGATTAAGCTTAGTTCATGCTGGAGCTCTATTACGATACAGTAGGACCTTCCTGTTAGTCGGATCAGTAGCTGCTGATTCACTTATCCACTGCCTGAAAATGATACCCCCCCCCCAAAATATGTAGTTATACTAGACATAAGGATGAATCACTATTTTGGTGAGTCATCCTGACTTGTGAACCGTCAAAGTTGACAAAGCATGAAGCATGAATCTCCTCCCCATGAACCGATGAAACACAAATGTATTTGTTGGTTTATGGGTTTTTTTTAGACAGGTGAAAGCTATCTAAAAAAAAAGCCGACCCCTCCTCCCCTGCAGCCTGCCCTCCTGCCACCTTCCCACTACCCCTATCACCTCCCTACCTTAGCTGCCACAGTCTGTGCTGCTGCCGCCACCAACATCCACACAGGCCTGTGCCACGGCGGCCTCTGCAGTCACCATCCAGTACCGCTTGCTGCAATGGCCTCCACCACTATGGCCTGCCTCAAGGGAATCTAGACTGCCCTTTGCAAAGATGGCAGCTGCAACTTCCCTGCCCTAAAAGAAGCTGCAGCCTAGATTCCCTTTCTCTTTGCAAAGGGCAGCCAGTGTTCCTTACGGCAGGCCGTGGCTGTGGAGGCCACCGCAGCAGGCAGCAGTAGATGATGGCGGCACTGGATAGTGGCAGCGGCTAAGGTAGGGAGATGAGGGGGCAGGGATAGGTTGTGGGGCTGGCTGGCTACCTATCGGTCTGCCGATCGGTGGGCCCATAGGCTGAATGGGAAGGCCATAGAAAAAGAGGGAAGACTAGCCCCCCCATCCTATGGGGGATGAATAAAAATGGGGAAATATTCATCCCTTCGTATTCGTCAGGGTCTCTGGAACTGACAAATATGAAGGGATGAATATTTAATTAATCAGCGATTTTTTTACGAATCAGAATCCTTTTTTAAATTCATCCATGTCTAATTTATACATATTTCCAAAGTGTAGTTACCAGAACTGGCCACTAGAGAGAGCCAGAGACCATGCAATGTATAGCGTTTCATACTTCCACATTTTTCAGCATCTGCGGGGAGCTTGGAACTAATCCCCCGCAAATACTGCAGACAAACTGTACTGCATTCTCTAACTGTTGTTTCTGTTGGTAAAAGAAGATAGGCTGGAGTACATTCGGCAGTTCTTAGTGTAATGGCCCACAGAAATTTAACACAAAAATGGAAACACTTGCCTTTACGCTGTTGGAAAAGAAAAGCACACTCATTGTGCAATCTTTTGCCTATACAACTGTCAACCGTAAAAACATTTATAGCATTTTCAACATGCTAAGTTTAAAAATGATGCAGTTGAATAGCAGGAGTCGTTCTACCTTAGTTCCTCTGTTAGATCCTGGATAGCAGCATACTTCTCCTCCAAAGACATCTGTGCATTGTGTAGCACGTCCCGAAGGTCTTGCAGCTGCCTCAAAGTGTTTTTCAGTTCTGCATTGGCATTTTGTACATCATTCTCTAATGCCTTTATTTTCTGTGCTGCATCCTTTTGCTGCTTCTCACTTGAAAGTAGTTTGTCTTCTAACTCTCTCACTTTTGTGCATACAGATAACAAAAAAGGATATTGGCAAAAAAATTAAAAAATGTTGTTATACCCCTATAAAATACTAAAAGTGGCACAAAGAGAGACAAATAGGCCAAAATCCTATTGCACAAGTATGCACACAACTCAAGGCTGTGCCTGCAGTAGCTGTGTGAGCACTGTAGCAGAAGTGCTACTCTAAAGCACTTCCTCTTGTGCACTGCGTGATCAGTTGTCTTGGGGACATGTAATCAATTGTCCAATTGTAGAATGTCATTCCTTGCTGGAAGTACATTTATGCTTGTATAAATTTATGTTTCACTGGCATGAACAGGATGCTGGCCTGAAAAGCAGAAGAGCAGAAAACAGCAGAACAGCGAAGACAGCAGTAAAATGTACAGTAGAACCCCTGTATCTGTGGGGGTTCTCCTATATCTGTGGCATCCACAGTTTCACTTATGAAAACATTAAAAATATTAAACGAAAAAAGCCCAGAAATACATGTAAGGAATTAGAAGAAACTGGGACTTGTAGTCATGCAAAGATGGAGTCTTTTAGGTTTATTGTGTAGTTTGGATTTAAGCTACTGAAATGGATTGTTGTTCCAAGTTTGCTCTACCTGCCTGGCACTGAGATAAGGAGCAAGGTTGAGAAGATCAAGGGAAGATGAAACACTCTTTAGGGAGAAGTGATTTTGACAATACAATACAGTGGTGCCTTGCAAAACGATGTTAATTCGTTCCGTGAAAATCGCTGTCTTATGAAAACATCATCTTGCAAAATGCAGTTCCCCATTGGAATGCACTGAAATCTATTTAATGCGTTCCAATGGGGGGGGAATCGTCATCTTGCGAAAATCGCCCATAGAGAAACTGTTTTGCGAAGCATGGACCCAGCTGTCAAAATCGCTGTCTTGCGAAAAACTGTCCCTTAAAAAAACATTTTGCGAAGTGCAGACTCAGCTGTCAAAATTGTCGTCATGCGAAAAACTCCCCCCCCCAAAAAACGGCTTGTGAAGCACGGACCAAAACATCGTCTATCGAAAATCGCCCATAGGGAAAACCATTTTGCAAAGCGCTATAGCGATCGCAAAAACCCGTCGTCTTCCGAATTAACCGTTTCGCAAGGTAATTGTCTAGTGAGGCACCACTGTACATATTTCCATGATGCAATTGCCAGAACTGGCCAATAGGGAAAACCAAAGACTATGCTACATATATAGTGTTTGCTATTAACCATTATTTCCAGCATCTGTGTGGGAGAGTACAGCTTGGAACTGATCCACCACAGCTACTGCAGTCGTCTTCCGAATTAACCGTTTCGCAAGGTAATTGTCTAGTGAGGCACCACTGTACATATTTCCATGATGCAATTGCCAGAACTGGCCAATAGGGAAAACCAAAGACTATGCTACATATATAGTGTTTGCTATTAACCATTATTTCCAGCATCTGTGTGGGAGAGTACAGCTTGGAACTGATCCACCACAGCTACTGCAGTGTACTGTATATTATAGCTTGAGAGAATAAAATTGTTTTTATCTGATACATAAACATGAGTAGACAGGGCAGCAGTCAAATAGCTTGGAGCCAATTATTGGTTACATCTATGCTTGCAATTACTTTACTTCTGATGGCTGCAAGATTCAAAATTGGCTCTCTGATAATGAACTTAATGAATGGATACTTTCACATAGGATCAAATAATATTTTACTCTGGTTGCACACAATACAGTGCTTCATTGATTAAAACCAAAGTAGGGGTCCTCACTAAAAGCAGCTGGAGATGTTTCAATACTGGTGAGATCTGCTGCAACTAACCAAAGCCAATCAATCTAACTCCTGTATCCTGAACCAGACAGAAGTTCCATGTAGTTTCCAAAGGTGCCTCTACATACAATCTGTAATAATCGTGTTTGTAGGGTATGGATAAGAGTGGCAAGCCTATTTCTGTCCAACCCAGTGAAGAGTGCTTTGTGCCACAGATAGTATTTCAATATCCAAGGCAGGGGATATTCTCAGGTCAAAGCTGACAGCTGGATTCTTGATAGAGAGTGCAACTTTATTGAAAAACAAATGAATGCCACTCTCCAAGTCCAATGAGCCATCCAATAACAGTGTCTTCATCTTGTTTGTACTAAGCTTCCAGTGCTCTTCTCCAGCCCCTCACAAGCTATTCAGCACCCCATACACATCTGTTTCTACATCCAAATTTTTGGTACACAGAATGGGCCTCGTAACATTTTGAATACATGCTAGAATACAAGAGACCCTTCATCATACTTGCACAAGGAAACAGTGCACTCAAGATAATACTAGTCCCTCTACAAATCCTAGTGCTTAGTGAAGTTGGAAACTTCTAACCTATTACTGGATAATCTACATCTCATCTCCATCCCTCTTGATCACATATTCTGTGATGACAAATTGAAATGTTAAGACTAGCAAATTATCACACAGTACTACTACTACTACTTATCCTTCCAAGAACTGTATCAAAGGTATGGTGCTAAAGGAGCCATTCTGTAGGGTACAGGTATCAGAGCTACAGCAAAAGGGAAGAGAAAGTGACTAAAGCCTAGAATACATATTCTACTCAAGGGAGCAGAGAGAACAAAGACCTGGAGTAGATACACCATGAAGCACCTGGCAGACTTTGTTAAGCAGCAATTGTGAGTAGCAAAACTATGGTATTGAGGGATAGGACGTGGACACTTTGCCTGCCACTGTTGTCTCAGAATGGATCCCCCCTCCCAATAACTGCTACTTGTAGCAAAGGGAAAACAACAACAACCCAAAAGCAGCTGCCGTGTGTGCACAGAATGTGGATTAGGATAACAATAGGAACAATAGGTAAGTAAGTAAATTTCCCATTTTGCAGTCCCAACTTTCTTATTGGCTGTTGTTTAACAAAGACAAAACAAGTATGCAAGACGTGCATGCAATACTGTGACTTAACACTATCTGGTTTGGCCCTAAAAGTTAATAGCCTAACTAGAATCCTCAGCACCACTGGACTAATTTCGTCTTTAACTGTTTATAAAACTCCCAAGTTCTATCAAATGTTATCCACCTTCCCCTGAGAGGACATCTATTAGCTGTAAAAAGAACACACTGTCATTTTAGTAGAGGTGAGCCTCACAATAAATGAAATAAGATATTTTGGGAGAAAGTTTGAAATGGCTTTCTCTACATACCAGCGTTGTGCATCAGACAACATATTCTATACCCTTATTCTTATTTGAGAATCAAAAAATCTTAATTTTTCCAGTGTAAAGCACACAACATATTAAGAACTTATCCCATTCATTTTGGTGTAGCTTGTGAGATCTTCACAAGAGAATTTCTAAAAACATCATAAAGACCCTACCTTGTTGTGCTTTTTCATGCAATTCTGTAACCTTCTGCTCCAAAGTCATTTCCAGCTGGCCCAGCTGCATAGCTTTAGCATGACCATCTCGTCTTAAATGCACCAGTTCTTTCTCCATGTCTATTAATTCATCTTTACATTGATCCATCTCTATTTTAATCTGACTGAATAAATAGAATTAGTAAATCTGAAGAAACAGCTGAAATGAGTGTTCAGTCTTCAATTCATTGTGTGACACTCAGTCCAGCTTTTTAAAAAAACACCAGAATACAAGAAACAAGCTGAGCATAATATATGCAAAACACAATTTTTTCACTGATCTGCAGGATAGCCAGTTTGATTCCAAGCAATTAAAGGGCTCTGAATCATAAATACACATCAGAATAAAATGAGGCTGAAGCAGCAAAATACCTCAAGCTATAGAGTGCTTAAGCACTGCCATCTGGTACACTTACCAAGATTAATTAATTAATTAATTACATTTATAGCATATCCTATATCACAGGATCTCACAGCAGGTTACAGAGCAGTATAAAACCATTTTAAAATATAAGATGTTTAAAGCAATTTAAAATCAAACAGTTAGTTGCCTATATAATATATAAATAATATACAGACACAAAAGTCTTTAATGATTAACATTAACATTGTCAATTTAAATTATTGTTTTAACTGTTTTTATGTATGATTTTGATGTGAGCCGCCCTGAGTAGACGCAGTCTAGAAGGGCGGGATAAAAATCTAATAAATAAATAAATAAAAATTAATGTAATGATATGTTTAAGTACAAATAATATGTGATAATGTATAGCATGATATATTCCCTATTATCTCAAGTTATTTCCCTTTGTTTAATGCACAAAATCAAAACATTAAAACCTGCACAGGCCACTATCTTCAACTTCCAAAGGCTATAATAAATAGGTATGTTTTGACCTGTTTTCAATGGAGGGCCTACCTCCCCAGCAGATCTTTCTGATTGGGCAGGTTTATATAGGGAGAGGCACTCCTTCAAATATCAACACCTTGAACTCAGACTGGAAACATATAAAGCAACCAAGGCAAATTCTTCAGAACTAGCACTGTGTGGGTTCTGAAGGATATTCCTGCTAGCAGTCTAGCTGGTGCATACTCCCTTTGCTGTAATAGTCACGTCATCTTCGAGGGTAGCCCAAAGTAGCTTGCATTGCAGTAGCTTAATCAGGAGGTTGCCAGGGCATGAACTACCATGGCCAAATTATTCCTGACTAGGAATGATTGTAGTCGGTGGATCAGTCAAAGTTGGTGCCAAATGCTTAGAGCCAGTGAAATCAATGGGGCTCACGTCTGACTTATATTCAAGACTGCAGTGTAACAGTTATATTCTGAAACCTCTTCCTGCAAATGCTACCAGATTCAAGAGCTACAATTTTTAATTATAAAACATTTCAAATTTAAAATCATAGTTCCTGAACATAGTGCAATACATTCATTTACGTGTAAGATCAATTTAAAACAACAACATTGCAAAACAATGTTTTGAACATACCTAATTGTACCTGTAAGCTCTGTTACTTTTTGTCTTTTCAAATCAGTTTCTTCAGAGGCTAAATGGAGTTTTTCATTTGTTTTTCTCAATTCTTCTTCCAAATTTTCCCTTTGCTTTTGAAGTTCATGCTCTAACTTTGTTACCTAATTTAAAACAACAGATTTAATATGTCCTGCTGTCCAATATCCCACTAAACTCAGACTGCAGTTTAACAGCACAATCCTATGCATGTTTATGCAGACACAAGACTCAATGCCTGGAATCCTGTTTCACAAGTTACAAGGCGTAACTTGTGTGATGTCATCAGCTGAAACTGTGCCACAGCCGTTTTGGAGGTGTGAAAAGTTTCCTCCCCTTCCCAGGTTATAGCAACCTTGGATTGGAGGCAAGAATCTAACTGGTGGTTTAAAACTTGTGTAAATAAAATCATGTAATGGTTGTAAGTTGCTCTGGCAAATTGCCATTAAGTAACAAGGTACTGGTTATATTCCTGGGCCCACAACCTGATTGTGTGACTGGGTGTACACCCATGAATGCAATCAGGACTTTATTAATTAATGGCACTTCTCCACTATGGTATTTCACTTATGCCAACTGCATTCTATCCATTAAAAAAATTAAGCCACCCACAGATCTTTTCAATTGCAGGACTTCATGTGTATAGGCCTAACCCGTACCCATGCTCAGACAGGTCACAGACAACGACAAGGATCCAAAGAGAGAAAGCAAGCAAACAAGCTAGTTCTGGACCTTGACATTATGCTCTTTAAGCGTTAATCCTTCAATCATATCAAGGGCCAAACTACTAATGAAGCTCGGAATACTTTCTGAATTGATTTATATCAAAGTAACTCTTCTGGTCAGAAAAAAACAACAGTTTTCACCAATTATATCCAAACCCTTGCTAGTATTTTAGAATCAGATTAATTTTGTTTTGGAGACATAGTAGGGAAATTGAAAACCTATGAAACAACAACACAAACCACTGAAATCTTTCACAGAATTTAAAAACATTTGTTATAAAGAAGATACCTGTTTTTGAAGTTTTGTTTGGCTGTCTTCCAATTCACTATTCCGGATGGTTTCCTGATGTAACATTTGCTGCTGCTGCTGCAGTGTTTGCTGTAGGATGAGGTTTTGTTCATTAGTTGACTGAAGATTGCCATTTTTAAGCTTCATTTCTTTTTGCAAACGTTGCACCTAGAAAAATATAACAATGTGATAAGGTACCATGAATACAAAGCTTGATTCTATTTTATAATCCACAAGTAAACAGTCTGCAACATCTATAGGCTACTAAAAATTGAGGCTATCACCACTGAAATCTAATATAATGAAATCAATACACAATATGGTCTGTTCTTGAAAATATGATTTAGCTAGAAATACCAAGGATATTTTATAAAGACTTATTTGTACTTCTTTAGCACAACTCCCTATTTTCAATGATATATGCACTATACTGAGCCATGCCCTTCATATTCTGTACCACATTTATGTTTTCAGTCCTGTTGCCATAATATATCAATAAAGGCTTGTTTCTCTCTTCCCGCCCCCAGAGTTCCTTGTCTTTCAAAATATGTATCATAATCAGGTTAGATCTCTCCATAACAATTGTCGCTTTCCTGACCACAGAGCCAACTACCATCGTGTGGGAATACCCAACACTCCATGAGAAGTAACCATGACTCAAGGAAGCAGCAAGCTTACCTCTTCAGACTTGTTCTTTAACTGTTTTTCGAATAATGCTCTATTTTCTTCTATATGACTTAAATACAATGCTAGATCATCCTTACATATATCTAATGCTGTCTGAAGATGTTTGACCTTGTTAAGTAGAAGAGATAATCAAAATAAGGAAACGTTAGCCTTTCACAAACACCTACAAAATCTGAATAGTAACTAAAATATAATCAAACAAACATGCTACTTCGAGTTATATAACACAAGTTTAATTAATGTTTCCACAGGTAAAAACATTTCTGTTTTCTGAAATAAAAAAGTATTTATTTGAATATTACAACATTAAGAAAAATTATGTGCATGCATACACTTGGATTATATCTTACATACTAAAACTTTATGTAACACAGGACTTATTCAGGAATGATGGTAATTTGTTAATCTGATGAACACCTTGTATCCAAAGGCTTCCTCCCTGTAACTGGAGGAGCTTCCCTGAGAGAAAGCAAACCTCTGAATGTACTTCACTATTATAACTTATTCTCTATCTAGAAACCCCTGAAAAGGTTGCTTAAGTCAGAATTAACTCGATGGCTCATGATGATAATGATGAGGATGTATGCCAGTGACATAATATGACATGAAGTATATAATCATTTGCCTTTAGCAATAATAAATATACAGAAGGAGGAATGTCAGCTAAAAATAGCTTTACATATAAGAATGCTTCGGGGCCTCAAGAACTGTTTGTGGCAGAATTATCTCATCACTGTCTCTAATTTTAAGGCACAAGAAGCAGGGCTGCCCCCTCAGTTCTGCTGAGAAAATGGGTGCCCTTTGGCTTTTTCTTCACTGTCACTAAACAGGAGCCACGTCATCATGGCAGCAGAACAGAAGCAGAGAAGGGAAGCAGTACGTTCTGTCAGTTCTGCAGGAAGGCCAGTTTCTTTTGGCTCCTTCTCTACCTGTACTATTTCCATGCCAGCTGGAAGCAACACTCCTTTCCATGTTGTGTCAGTTTCTTTTAGATTGTGAGCCTGAGGGCAGAGAGTGTTCTACTTTTTATTAATCTTTTAAGACAAGGGGTCCCCAACCTTTTTCACCCCGTGGACCGGCTGGGGAAGGTAGGGCACCCCCCCACGCTCATGCGTCTGCTCGAGGAGCATGCATGCTGTCATGCGGGTGCTCGGGCACAGGAGGGTGCTCATGCAGGTGCGCGCTCTCTCTCATGTGTATGCACAAATGGTAGCACAGAGCTCACTTGTGCACATGCACAAATGGTGGTGTGGCGCTTGGGGTGGGTGCGGGTGCTCTTGTGTGCATGCACAAAGGGGTGGAGGAGTGTTCGTGTAGGCGCTGGCGTATGCACACGCAGGCACAAAGCAGCTGTGTGGGGCTGAGTGTGTGCGGGGGGGCGGAAGGTCTGACTCTGCGGCCCAGTCTGGCTCAGGCCATGGACTGGGGGTTGGGGACTTCTATTTTAAGACATTCTAAGAGACTTTTTGGCTGAAAGTTGGAACAGAAACTGTTCAAATTAAACAAAACCCTAATATTGCGGATTATATTGACAGAAGACTGTAATGGTGCTTCTTTCTCTTTCTCTGCCCATGACTGCTCTTCTCACTTCTTTACAAGCTGTGCATAATGCCTGGAACCCTCCCAAATCGGCTTCACGATACAGTGTCTTACCTCCTTCAAATCCATTCTCAAAACCAACCTCTGCCAAGAAATCTATTGTTTAACTCCTTAGGAGCCTCATGGCGCAGTGGTTAAACTGCTGTACTGCAGCCAAAACTGTGCTCACGACCTGGGGTTCAATCCCAGGTAGCCGGCTCAAGGCTGACTCAGCCTTCTATCCTTCCGAGGTTGGTAAAATGAGTACACAGCTCGCTGGGGGGGGCAATGTGTAGCCTGCATAACTAACTTGTAAACAGCCCAGAAAGTGCTTGAAGCGCTATGGGGCAGTACATAAGCAGCACACTTTGCTTTAATCCCGCCTCCCACTTTCAAACAATTATGAAATACAATGAGCTACGGTTTTAGGATAATTTCTTGTCTTGCCCTTTACTTTCTTCCTTTCCTTATTTCATCACTGCTCATTATCAAAAAATATACTACAAGCTCTACAGTGAAAAGACCTGTCTTTGATGACAGTTCATCAACAGGGTGTTGCATTCAGTGATCATACTGTAGAATAATAATTCATTAGATACATGGCATAATCATTCAATAAACATTAAAACATGGAAGTATGAAGTTCTTTTTCCTTTATAAATATTATTTTCATGCATAAAGAAAAATTGTTTGATTTTTTAAAAATTATCCAGAGAAATAAAGTAGCAGAATGGTTGATAGTAAGATGAATCGTCAGTGTAAGCAATGACATATTTTGAGCAAAGAGTAAAGAAAAGTACAGAAAGAAGCTGCAAGTAATAACAGACAAATGGACATGTATCTACCTTGATTGTTTCCTCAGAAAGTTGTTCCTGTAGTATCTGTAAAGCTTCTTCTTTCTTGACTTTCTGCTTTTCTATTTCCTATTTAGATCCAGAATTAATGAAAGAAAATATCCTGTTTTATGCTTTGTTTGGTTTTAGTTTTCTTCCTTCTCCAAGATACCCAAAGCTAATTACTATCATGCAATTCAGCTCTTGACTGGTTTTGTTAGAAGAAAAAATCTGCAGATATGCTGCTCTAGGGTTCATGAACTTAGGATCTCAAGTTTAAATAATTAAGCAGTTGTTATTTTTCCTTCCGGGGCTGTTTTCAAATTTTCAGCCTTTAAAGCCTTAAGGATGTATTCCCTTTATGTTTCCCTCCTGTAGTAACCAACACAATCTCAGCTCTGCAGTCCTTAGTCATCCACTTGGATATGGGAACTTACAAGAACTGATCTAAACATTGACTAAAATTCAAAGAGCGGCTTAGACTCAAAGGCAGTCAGTGACATGCTGGTTGTTTGGCTAGAGTCATACTCCTTGATGGGAGTCAAGTCATACTTCCCTTGTGGGAAGCCAACCCTGTATAATCTAGTCATCTCCTGGTACAACAGAGAGATATACGTATAGACACAGCTAAACATATGAATTATATGCTTAGCTCAATAGTACACCTATTATGTCAGCACTGGCTCCTCAGGAGTCTGGGCACACATTGTTTTTCACACATTTCCACTGTCTGGGAATCTTAGCTACAGGTGTTGAACTTGGGACCTTTTCAATGCAGACCATGTGCTTTGCAACAGAATGACTGAAGATAATGATGCTCTCCCACCGGAGATAATGCTGCAAGGCCAGGCCAGGATAACACCAATCTGTAAGTAGTACTTTCTTAAGCAACCAAGCTCAGTCCTGGGAACAACCGTAATATGATGAGAAACCACATACTTTGTAAGAGGGGCACAAAGTAAAACACTACCTCTTTGCCTTCTATAAGCAATTGATCCAATGATTCAATCTGCCGTTGTTTACGTAAAATATCTTGCTGTAAAATGGTCAATGTGTTCTCTTGCTCAAGAAACTGTTGGTTTTTAGTTTCTAGTTGAGACTGAAGCTATAGCAGAAAAAAAATGTTAACATTTTACAGTGTCTCACACCTACTCATTAAAGAATGACAAATACCGTCAACTTTGCTTCTGTTATTAATATCCTACACAGCATCCAATACAACAGAGTCAATAACATTATGTTGTTTTTCTGAAACAGATAATATTTTAGAATAACAGACTTTTAAAAACAAATACGCAATGCAGGTTTTACCCAAGGAGGTTCAATACTGGTAAGAACTCTAATGTTGTATTGCTGAATTCAGAGAAATTAAATCAAAGTCCTCCTTGGAACTTGGTTTGGATTCTTCTTAGAAACAGAGTAGCAGTAAGAGATTGTTTTATCAGCAATACCTCTCCCGGGTCTCACACAGCACTCTTTCTTTGACTTTCCTGGAGACACTGGTCAGGGGTTGAATCTGGGACTTTCTGAACACAAGGCATGTGCTTTGTCACTGAGCCACAAGCCATATTCTAACCACTACCTCTGTTCCAAGGTACCTCTGTTCCACTACATCTTCTCTAAGTTGGAAAGGACAGGGCAGTAATATTCTGGCTGTCATTCTTGATATGTTAAAATGTGGACAGGTGGCCATAGTATCTAAGCATGATAAGTGGTAAAATGGTTATAAAACATGGCATGTGGAAGCATAACAGCATTATGCTGCATTTCTTCTATTTCAGGAGGAAGCACTGGATGTTCTATTATCCCAAGCATGCTTCCTGGCTTTCAGACTCTAAGAGACATGTAGCACTTGAGCGGAGAGGATAGGAGACAGCATGGACAGAAGTAATTGGTTGGACAGTTATTCTTTACCCCAGACAAATAGCAAATTTCATTTCCATCCCCATTGATGCAACTTGGGAAACATGCTTATCAGGAGACTCAAAACACCATGTGTCCAACATAAAAAAAATAATCTTAAAACAGTCTAAGTGGGTGCCAGCTAAAACCACAATGGTGCAGAGGCTGCTCCATGTGACAGGTAATTTGAGGGAAACATCTCCCACAATTTGCCATCAATTTAAAAGCAAGCACATACATTTTTCCAGATCTGCAACAACATGATGGAAAACAGAGCCATGCAAGGAGTTAGACCCAGAAACACTTTGACAAGTGAAGGAACATCCATACACCTGCTTTTAATCTGCTCCATGAATAGATCAAGCTGAAGGGAAATATGGTGAAAATTACTGCAGGCATCTATTTATTAGAGACTACAAAACATTTAAGAAACTGCAAAGAAGCAGAGTGCTTAAAAAAGTTGTACCAGGTAGACACTTACTAATTCAATCTGCTTTTCCATCTCTTTGTGTTGCTCAAGATGAATAATCTTTGTTTTTTCTAGCATTAAAGAGAAGTGCTCATGTTCCTCCTTGATATTTCTTTCCAAATTGTGAAGCTGAGAGTTAACTTCCTGAAAAACAGCACATTCTTAACAATTCACAACTGAAGATACAATGGGGAAAGTATATGGATCTTTCAGTGCTTCTATGGCTAAATTCTCTCCCCACCCCACCCCCACTCTGGCAGAAGACAAAAGTCTTAACATTCACTTGTTCCTATCCAGCAATTAACAAGTCACCACTGGGATTCTCAGGGGTGCCTGCACCTGCTGGCATGAGGGTGCACACTCTGCCCAGTGAAGAATCTTCAATTGCCAGCTAGGAAAGAGTGAATGCTACACCTTTTGCCTTCTAACTGCATAACAATGCAATGGAATTTCAGCCATTGTGTCATTCTATTAAGCAAAATACAACTCAAAGATGTGTAGAAATAATAAATTGCAGTATACCAAACTGTATGAAAAAATTTAAGAACAAAACAATCTACATTTTAAAAATTATTTCACAACACGCTCTAATAGACCAAGACAGGATTTTATTACATCATATATATGATATAAATCTCCCTTCAACCCACAATACAGAGAAAATATTATTATATATTATTTACCACTAATTCCTGTTCAAGCTCTGTCTTCTTTGCAACTGCAGATGTATAAGCAACTGTCTTTTCTTCCAACTGCTTTTCAAGGGTTGAAAGCTGAGAGGTTTTCCTTGCTATCTATATCAAAAACATATATACATTTTAAATATGCAAAACTAGAATGAGTATTTTTTAACATAGTGCCCCTACCCACAATGAAAGTGGTTGCATGAATATTACATGTGACTCTTAGAGAGGGCTAAGGAGTTCAGTGGTGATGAGCACCGTAATTCCAGCTACCTACACTTTCTAAGAAATTTTACCCAAAAGTATACCCCTTCATAAGCCATTCCAACCTCCAGTAACGCTTTGCCATTTCACTGTACATTTTTCCATTTATTTCTCATTAAAATAAGAACCAGGAGACTATCATACCTGGAAATGTGATTACATACAGATAATGACAAGAAAATAAGATACATTATTGCTGTACTGGATGTTGATTTGTTTCAAAGACCACAAGGAACTTTGAGCACTGTTTGATTGATCACCTGCCTAATTCTTACATAAGCTGAAGATGGGCTAGGGAAACCCACTTGAGCAATTCCATTGTAACGTCCATCTGGAGGTTTCTTTAAAGATAGTTTCTGTAACAAAAGGTCACATAATTACCATGTGGATCTTGTATATGCTTTTCATTTCAAAATTGGAGGGAATGATTGGGTTGTAACATTTTGGCCATGGAAGTTAGGGCCAATTATTAAAAACAGTCATGTTTTCTAATTTTGAATAGAAAAAATATACAGTATAGCATGGCAATTGTGTAGTCTTTTGTTACAGAAATGACCAGAAAAGCTTCAGAAGATTGTCAAGTTCTGATTAAAACGGGTAGCTCCTAAATATGAAGAATTCTACATTTCTACTTACTTCTCGCTCCAAGGTAGTAGATTTTGCAGCTTTCTCCAAGAGTTCTTCCTGTATTGCTTGAAACTGAGTAGTTCGCTGGGCCATGTTGTCCTTTAAAAATTTATTCTCTTCTTCAGATTTTTCCAATTTTGTATGAAGTTCTTCTAATTGCTTAATTAATATTTGCTTCTCCTTTTCTAACTGTTTAGTGGTAATCTCCAGTTGTTTGCATTTTCTCTCTTTTAAAAAAAGGACTAATAAGTTCAGGCTGTAGCACAATTATAAACTAAAGGTTATAAAGGCCTTTTTTTGAACAAGATTTTTATGGTACAGTATATTCTTAGTTTCATCTATGCTAAATATTTAAACTAATTTAACAGATTTGTTTGTGAGTTAGGCAAAGACTTGTGTACACAGAATTTTCAGCATCCTCTGAAACGAATCCTGTTGTGAACTGTGGTTTTTGTACTAAAATTAATGTAAAACCAATAAACATTAATAATATAGATCAATATGATTGAGCTGACTCACACTGGCAAGATTCCTAAGTGCTGGGCAGCTTAACCTGACCAGGTGATTGTACCAAGGCCCCAAGCTGCACATTTTCAGCTGATTATTAGTATTCTGCATGTCTTTAACTTCCTTTGTCGAATACAATCTGTGGCTGAAGAGGGAAAGGTACAATATCCACCCATCCACCTCACTTTCTGCTGCTAACTCATTCTCAATGTCCTGTACATGTGATGTATAGGTGTCTTCTCCTTCCTTGAGTCTATTTATCACAATGGCATGTGTTCCTGACATTTTCCTCAATCCCGTAACTTAGCACTTGAAAGTTTAAATTTTCCTTTGTTTATATAAGAAGTAGAAACCTCAGAAGATCATCAAGTTCTGATTCACCACTACAATCTTGGTCTTTTATGTTTATTTACTAACTTATGGTATTTATACAAGTCACTCTACATTCATAGCCATGACGTCTAGACCATCTTTTATGATAGTGTATTTTAATCACAGAAACATATTTTCTATCTGTTGCATAAACCTAAAATTGCTAACAAAAATAACATTAAAACAGAATGCAAAAGTTTCTACTACCAGCTATACATAAGCTGTATTGTTCCAAATAAAACTATTGAGAAGACAATGAATAACTGGAAGTCCTTGTACACAAATACAAATAATTTAACGTTTACAGCCCCTAAGGTGAAATCTGATACAATGAATAACTGGAAGTCCTTGTACACAAATACAAATAATTTAACGTTTACAGCCCCTAAGGTGAAATCTGATACAAATCTGATACAAGCTGAGTTTGCAGCTTCAATTTTCAGATTTTACCTTACAAATTCTGAAGCTTCCACATCTGGCCAGAATGATTTTTGGACTTTCCTGTTTCTCCATTACCACCACTACCTGAAAAACAGTCTTATGGGACTCAAAAGCTTGCCTGTTTTTTTTAATTTTATATTTTAGTGGTTTAATAAAGGTACTGCCCAACTTTGTTTTTGAACAAATGAAGCAGTGAATTTAAAAAGGAGTAACTGAAAATCTACAAACAATAGTCAAATGCCTAAAGAATCTTGTGTTTTTCATGCAGTTTGCCAGGTTTAGAAATACTTTTATGTTTAAATACCATGGATTGGATCTGGACCTACTGCTTCATAAATTGAACCTCCTACTGGAAGGAATATGGGGCCTGGGGGAGATAATTCCTCCCAAGTATCCTCATCATCACCACTGGCTTTACTGTCCAAGAGGATTCCCTAGCTACTGGTGCAGACTGGAGGGTACACAGACTGTAGAAAGAAGTAGGAATTAAAAGCATCCTGTGAAAGCATCCATTGAACAGAGATCATTTGTGTTTTAGCAAATTTGTGGGGTCAACATTTGATGTCAAGCATATGCTTTTTGCATCAGGTTTTATGGATCAATGGCCCAAATCTTGTTGCTTAGCAAGGTCCAGTCACTAGAGGCCTATTAATCAATCGGGATTTAATGGGTCAAATCCCCATAGGTTCCATTGATTCAAACTGATGTACTCTAACTATGACTTGTTATGTTGAAGTAAGCAACAGTTACAGTAGGCCAATTTGAATCAATGAAACTTATGGAGGAGCTGACACACTAAATCCTCATTGATTCAATGGGGAGTCTACAACCTTATTCAGGCATTCAAAAGATGAACGATTAATCTGAAGATGTGAAGAGGGAGGGAGGTGCATAACTACATGGAATTTTTCAGACTGTTCTCTATCTGAAGAAACCGACAAGGTTTTCTGTGTGGACTGGACTAGTATATTAAAAAGAAGTCTCTTCTTGATACTGAAATTCTACATCTCATGTGGAGCTCCCATCCTGGAGCCTGTGAGGATGGAACAGAAACACTTCATATAACAGGGAGTTATTGTGTTAGGCAAGTGCATGTGGAAAGCCGTTTCATGCAGATTTCAGCAACATGTAATCCTTATTTAGGTATTCATGATCACCCAAGCCACATATCAATCCTGGTGCTAGCCAGCCTTAGACAATGGTCCTCTATATAAGACCTATGAATTCTCAAACTGTTCAGTGGATTGTTTTGAAGAAGCAACTATCCATGTCAGAAGCAATCATCCTTTCTCTTACTTGTGTTCTTCAGTACATGATATTCAGAATGTTGACAAAAGGAAGGAAGGATTCACAAAACACTGTAGCTTTAAGAACCAGTCTACAGTCATATTTAACCATGTCTGAGGAAGTAGATTTTCATCCATGAAAGCTCACATTGCAGTAAAATAGCTGTCTTTAAAGTTCTACAATATTTTGTCCCTGTTCCCCTATCCCACATTTTCTCAATTTTTTTGCCAACATGGTGAGATTGGCTAATACAAACAGGTCTTTGGAAACTGACATTCAGAAGAGAACATATAGCCCACATGCATACCTGTTTGATCTTCAGTTAGTTTTACTGGTTCAGTTTCTAGGCCATGCAATTTTTGTCCCTCATCTTCTTCAGAGATCTCTTGACCTATTTTACCAGCCATATGTTCTGCTTGAAGTTTCTGAATCTCTGTGTCTTTTATTTTCAGTTTTAATCTAGGCAAAATAAAGAGTATTGAATAATCATGTTTTTTTAAAAATCACTCATATTATGTTCACTTCAGCTACAATACAATACCTTAGCTCTTCTATCAAGGATCTACTTGATTCAGAGCAATTGGCACATGTTGCTTCATTATGACGCTGATAGTGATCAACCTAAAAGTTAAGGGAAAAGAGTCACGAAAGTAAAAATATCAGTCAGTTTCCAGTAGTGGATTTCTACTGCTAGAATCCAGCAGAACTGAAGGGGGAGTACCCTTCTAGATGCAAACCATCATGTGCCACTGAAACAAGCTCTGGAGGGCTAGGAAATCAATTTTGGGGCAACCTATAGGAGAAGGAGGAGGAAAACTCTATTATAATCACCAGCAGAATGATAGATACAGATTGAAGCTTACCTTATAGTTAATAATCTATTGCAGTGGTTCCCAACCTTGAGTCCCCAGATGTTCTTGGACTGAAACACCCGGAAGCCTTCACCACTAGCTGTGCTGATCAGGGTTTCTGGAGTTATACTCCAAGAACAGCTGGGGACCCAAGGCTAGAACCACTGATCTAGATCTACTGCTTTAAAAAAGTTAATGGTTACCACGAAGTCCAGCCTACAATAAAGAAGTTCAATGTTTCAACGAAAGAGAATTAAGCACATATTCTTCCACTGAATCTGCCAAGAATAAAAAGTGTGAAGTTTGAGTATGGCGTACGTCTACAAGATAGGTGTAATCAAAGAAAAATTCAGTGATAGGCCTATGGTTGTAATGAGGCTTCTCCCTTCCAGCAGAATGCCACACATCTCTATTACACCGTGAATCATGTTTCAGTACTTGGGGATGTTCCCAAAGTGATACAAAATGTTCATTACTTTGGGTGTCACACAATCAGACAACAGTGCATGGCAGAAAAAGTAATACCGTAAGCCATGAATATTACCCTTGCACAAACAGTATATTTGTATTCTTCAAATCATGGTAACTTCTTATTTTAGTTCTCCCTATTATTAGTTCTTGAACAGAGAACATAAAACTCAATACCATGTGACAGAATGCTAGGACCTGTGGATGATAGGACACAATCCCTGCCTCTGTGATGACTAAAATGTACACACAGTGATGCAATATGTTATACCCAGATTGTCCTGCAAAGGTGCTGCTTTTGCTTTATGGGAGTACAGAAGCCACACTCAAATCTAAGGAAGGTTATACAGCACACAGAACTGTGCAGAAAGGAAGGAGGTGATTTAAAAAAAAATGCATGGAGCCGAACACTTTGACAGGCAATAAAAGAGAATGGAAAGTATCACTCCACTCCTGGTAATCTAGGGCAGGAAACTGTGGCCTGGTCTTAAGACTAATCACTGATTACATTTACAGCTTCCTAGGACAGAAAATGTTAGAAAAGAGAGTGGCATGTCAATTCCTGCCTTGAAGGCCAACCTGTGCAGAAATGCTGGATTACTTGAAATAGATTGTATTGTACCCTTGAGCACTCTTCCTATGCCATTTCCAATGAAACAAGTGATGGACTGAATCCCATTGGTGCTTGCAGAACGTGTCATAACTAATTGCAACTAACTGATGATGTTCCAGGGAACACCTCAGTTGCATGCCTAGTTATGTACGTGATTGCACAACCAAGCACTTTCAATTCAATGTCAATTAATCACAGTTAGCTGTGGCAACTTATGCAAACCCAGTGTGAACATCAGTAGGATTCAGCCGATTACTCTAATATTTTATGAAACTGTGTTGGCAATTAAGCAATCGTAATTCAATTGTTGGGATCTAAACTGGTGTAAGTGGTTAATCTGTTCATGTAGAGGAAGCTTCACAGTGCTAATCTCCAAGAAGCTACCCTGTGCCCTCCAACAGTTCCCTTCCAATGTTGGGGCCTCCCCAAATATCCCTTACACCACAATGGCTTGCCCCTGGGAAAGCATTTTTGCGTTACGCACTGCATATTTAATCTGGTGGCATTACAATCCGTAAAGACAAGTTACTGTACCCCTTTCAGTGAGCTTTGGGACAATTGAGAGATAACATTTTCCAAAGTTTTAAGTTCGATTTTTGAATTTTCAATGTCTTGTTGACATGACTGAAGCTGGTCCTGTTGCTTTGCAATGAGGGTTTTTAAGTCAGCATTTTCCTTTATTAAGGCATTTTTCTCCTCAAGTACTCTGCCTTGCTCCTGAAGTCTACTTTCAAGCAATTGAATCTTCTGCTGGGAATGCTTCAGCAACAATTCCATTTCAGAGTTTCTGGCTTCCATACTCCTTAGGTTTTCTTTTCCAATACAAGTCTCCTCAACTAACTGCCTAGACAAACACAAAAGAAAAGGTAAACAGATTGTCAATAGTTTCCAAAACCCTGAAGATTTCATGGTTAAGGTTCCATCTTAACGATGAAAAGGAATTAATGTAATAATGGTGTAATAGTTTTAATCTACCAGAGTTCTAAAAATTGAGCTAGGCATTTAGAGACAAATTTAAAGAATATGGAAAAATGTTGAAAGCAAACTTTTTAAAAGGAGCATTAGGTAAAACAAAAATAAAGATAGTGAACTATGATAATCAGCAGGAGCAGGTTACTTTTTCAGCAGTCATTTTAACTTAGAGTCAAACAGCATTTTCGAGTATGAAACATTGGAACCCTTTTCTGCAGCAGCTTCTGGGCTCTGAAACTTATGTACCAAGGAAGGCCAGGTTTGCCTCTTCTGCTGGAGAGCAAAGTTATTTCCTTTCAGGTGAACCTTCAGCAGTTTTAGGCCCTGAAATCATAGGATTTTACCTAATGGGCCGATTTTCTCTCTCTGCTAAACTAATATTTTAAGCAAGAGATGTTCAAATGTTTAAATGTTAAGTGTATGTTACAATCTGAAGACAAGAGTGGATGATATGTGATAAGACATATACAGAGTTGAAAGCTAGCTCATATTTGTGATTTCTTAGCGGTCTAAAAATTTTTTTATCACCCATTCTTGTCTTCAGATTGAGCTCAAGGACTATACACCCTTTTTCCTTTTCCTCTCAACTGAGTTTTAATAACATAGTGAATTTAATTCTATGTTAATATTTGTAACATTGCTGTATTTTAATTTCTTGTTGTTTTTTTAAAATGCATTGCAAGCTGTCTTGGGTCCCAGTTCTGGGATACAGGTGGCAAAATAGAAATAAAATAAAACCATGACATTTAAATTATTTTCTGTTTTATCTTCTCACAGGGTGTTCTTTAAGATAATAGGCCAAGGCTTTCCTTTCTATAGCATGCTACAAAGGCACAAGCACTTAATCTGTTAAGACCCCCAATCCTGCATTTTTTGTCAGAAGTCAGATACAGTAGAATAGAATCAAATCATGATCAAATGGTAGAACAATAACAAAGGAGAATGGGCAGAGATCCCTCATATCTAACAAAAACAAGACATTACATATGGTTGTTAGACAAAACAGCCAGCCAGTGATGCTTTTATGAAGTCCAACTGATTCTTACTTGATTTCTGACAAGAAAATTCTGAAAGTCCACCATATTACACTTTTGCTGCCCAATTAGTTGAAACAGATTGAATTGGCTATATACCCATGTCTATAAATCAATAACTACATCGCAACACAAATATCAAAACAACTTTCAAAATGATTAAATAGCAAGGATTTCCATAAGGTGCAAAAACCCCCACACAAATACTTACCTCATTTGTTCCTTCAAGTTTTCCAGCTCACTTCTATAGCTATCACATTTTGATTCCAGTTTTTCGTTTTCTTTTACACAGTTCATTAGATTTCTTTCTAAAATTTGTTCTTCTGCTTGAACCTGAGTGAAAAACAGACATAATTTTAAAAAACAAAATGCATCTACTATTAAGAAGACAAGTAAGTGAAGGCTACACAGTTGTTTAAAGCACTTGCATCAAGTCCTCTTTAGGCAATCTCTTAATTGCAGTGGGAAGGTAGAGCTCACACAGTTTTGATCTTCCCACAACAACACATGCTTCTTGATATTACTAAGACTAGCCCTCAGCAGTACAAAAAATTGAGGTGTGTGTATGGACTTGTGCACACAGTCACACACACACCAGTTTGTTCACTTTCCCCTCAATTTTTGAGAACTAACAGCATAAGAAAAAAAGATAGGCAAACACATTCGAATGAACACAATCCACAGGCAACCAGAAACAGGCAAGGTGTCACGTGGGAAAAAACAGAGATCTGTTCAAGAAAATTGGAGCTATTAAAGGAACATTTTGTGAAAAGATGGACATGATAAAGGACAAAAATGGGAGGGACCTAACAGAAGCAGAAGACATCAAAAGAGGTGGCAAGAATACACAGAGGAATTATACCAGAAATATCTGGATGTTCTGGACAACCCAGATAGTGTGGTTGCTGACCTTGAGCCAGATATCCGGGAGAGTGAAGTCAAGTGGGCCTTAGAAAGCATGGCTAACAACAAGGCCAGTGGAGGTGATGGCATTCCAGTCGAACTATTTAAAATCTTAAAAGATGACGCTGTTGAGGTGCTACACTCAATATGCCAGCAAGTTTGGAAAACTCAGCAGTGGCCAGAGGATTGGAAAAGATCAGTCTACATCCCAATCCCAAAGAAGGGCAGTGCCAAAGAATGCTCCAACTACCGTACAATTGCACTCATTTCACACACTAGCAAGGTTATGCTCAAAATCCTACAAGGTAGGCTTCAGCAGTATGTGGACCGAGAACTCCCAGAAGTACAAGCGGGATTTCGAAGGGGCAGAGGAACTCGAGACCAAATTGCTAACATGCGCTGGATTATGGAGAAAGCCAGAGAGTTCCAGAAAAACATCT